ATACCTAGGTACCTAGGGAGTGGCTTATCTTATCGACACGTGCAGCGTGTTCCTAGCGCGTTTCTGAGTCCCTTCACGCCACACGATTTGAGCCCGCCTTCAATGAGACGTCATCTTTCGCACAAACCGTCATGGACGCATTGTTGGAAGGGCTTAACGACGCGCAGAAGAGCGCGGTGACAAGTCCCGCCAATGTTGTTCAAGTGCTCGCGCCGCCGGGGTCAGGCAAGACCAAAACACTTACAGCACGCGTCGCGTACCACATCAATCACGAGCGACTACAACCATGGAACATCATCGTATGCACGTTCACCATCAAGGCCGCACGGGAGATGAAGGAGAGAATCAAGGGTTTTGTTGGAGAGAAACTTGAGGCGAAACTGATTCTGGGTACCTTCCATTCGGTCGCGCGTCGCTTCCTGTCTCGGTACGGTCAAGAGATTGGGATTGATAAGAACTTTGGCATCGCGGATACTAGCGACAGCACAGCAATATTGAAGCGTATCGTTACGCGCCATCAGTACACAGTAGAGCCCGGCCATGCTCGCTCCAGGATCTCCAAGTTGAAAGCCAAGGGCGTTACGGCCGACGACTTTCGCAGGACAGCTAAGAATGTCAACGATAACGAGTTTGCCATGGTATATTCGTCCTACCAGGAACACTTAGCCGCCTCAAATCTCCTCGACTATGACGACCTCCTCGTCCGCTGTGTGGATCTGTTAAGAAAATCACCATCTTGTGTCTCGACGATACAGGCTGTACTCATTGACGAGTATCAAGATACCAACAACATCCAGTATGAGTTGATGAGATTGTTATCTCAGAAAACAAGACGTATTACCATCGTCGGTGATCCGGACCAGAGCATATACAGCTTCCGATCAGCCGAGATCAAGAATTTGCTGCGGATGCGTACTGATTACCCAGAATCAGTTGTGATCAATTTGGAGAACAACTATCGATCTTCGGGATGCATCCTAAGCTCCGCTATGGCTGTCATAGAGCAGGATGAGAGTCGGCCACAGAAGTCGCTGATTGCTACCCACGGTGTCGGCGAGCAACCCACTCTTCGCCATCTTATATCGGCGAATGTGGAGGCAAAATGGATCGTTGAAGAGATACACCGGACCAAAACGCTTACAGCCGGGCTGTTGAGCTTCAATGACTACGCTATACTTGTGCGATCGTCTCCACTCACACTACAGATTGAGAGAGCGCTCGGACAAGCTGGAATTCCGTATCGCATGGTCGCTGGCACGAAATTCTTCGACCGTGCGGAAATCAAAATTATCTTGGACTACCTCCGTGTGATAAGCCAGCCTGAACACAACGATGCGGTAGCGCGTGTCATCAACGTACCTTCTCGGAAGGTCGGCGATACTACTGTCAAGGCCCTTCTCGAAGAAGCAGAGATCAGGAAAGTGACCTTGTGGAAGTTAGTGCTTGACGTGGCTCAAGGCAGGAGAAAGCCGGAAAGCAAAGTGTCCGCCCAGGCGCAGAAGGGTATTGAGCAGTTCGTCAATGTTATCATCACCTCTCGCGAGAAGCTTCTTCCTGCTAAAGGCGAAGACTGCAACCTACTAGGTCTTATATCGCACGTCACAACCAAGATTTCTTTCCAGTCCTATCTCAAGCAGGCGCACAAGGAGAACTGGCAAGATCGATGGGCCAACGTGGAGGAGCTGGTGAATCAGGCGACACAAATGGCTACAGCAGTCGCCAATGGAGAAGAGATCTCTGACGACGCCTTGCCAGCAGTAGAAGGCCTCGAACAGCGGCACGACACTGCAGCTGATATCTTGTCCAAGTTTCTAGCCAATGTCACCCTCTCGAGCGCGGCAGACCAGGAGGGCAGTGAACTAGACCAGGTCACCATCTCCACCATTCACGCAGCAAAGGGTCTTGAATGGCCTGTGGTCTTCATGCCTGCTGTTTACGACGGATCCATACCCCATTCCCGAGCGGACGATCACGACGAAGAACGGCGCTTGCTATATGTTGGCATGACTCGAGCACAAGGCTTACTGTACTTAAGTTGCCCAGTCAAACAGTCGGGCCAGGAGCAGACGACACTTTCGAGATTCATATCGGATCGGAAAATCCAAAAGCTTTTCAGCAATCGAGGGCCAGATCTTGCATTTAAGAGGAGTACCGTACCAGATTTAGCCCGCATCCTTCGCAGAGAATGCCCATCATCTGAAGATATGAAGACAGCTCTCTGCTTGTTGGAACGTCCAGAGGATGACCAGTATCCAACGACTCGGGAGGAGATCGACGGAGACGACCCAACATGGGCCGCATACGGTGGCAAAAACAACGGTGCTGGGCTAGACCAATCTTTCAAGCGGCGTAAGTTGGAATCGTCAAGCTCTCTGTCTAAAGACTCAGTAGCATCTACGATGAACCGAACGTCTGCTTTCTCGACAGCGACAACCACGATGCAGAGTGTAAAAGCTGGGTTCACTAGCGCACGAGATCTTGGAGACCTACAAGCAATGCAAAGAGAAGCAGAGCGGATTCGTACTCTAGCCAGTGTTCAATACGTCGAGGCTGGTAGAGAAGTCTACAAGGATGCGAAGAAGGCAGAAGCAAAGCCTGCGCGCGCAAAAGTTGTGAAGCCACGTGCAACTGGTCAAGGTTCCATTACGAGTTTCTTCAAGCGATCAAACAGCACGCTGTCTGAGGAAACGGAACCACCGCCATCTTTCGACGCGCTGTCTTTACAACGCTCGCAGTCTTCGTTTGCAGCCAATACTCCACTCTACGATATCTCCAATACTCAGTCCGCTGTCTCACGTCCACCACGTCCATTCCAGCCCCTTTCGATACCCAGTCACAAAGTTACAACCCGACCTATCCTCACCAAGCCAAAACGTGCGGAGCCAGAACCTGGGATGGAGAACACGCGATACGTTCTTTTGTCCAGCTCACCGCCTAAATCTGAGGCGGAGAATACATACCAAGCAGAGAAAGAGCTCGGAGAACCGGCAAGTCCAACGAAACAAGCATCGTCATCTTTTAATTCGGCAGCGGGTTTCCGTCCGGCGTCGACATTTCATACAACATCAATGAGTCAGGTACAAAACCAGTCGGCACAGAGGAAGACACTGGGCGCGAGGAGAAGCATGCAGCCGTGGAGTGTAAAGCACAGTGCTATGCCGAAGCCACGGCCACCTTGATGTACGTTTGGGGAGGCCTATTCGGTTTTTGCGATGAGATAGATTTGGTTGCATGGATCGGCGTTACAGCGCTCAGTCACGTTGTTCAGTGGCATCGTAGTCGTTGGTTGTTGTCCGTATTACTATCTTTCACTATGAAAGGCCCATCATGCTGTACAAATGAACTGCCCCCTACAACACTGCGAAAGCACTGCAGTACGATACACTGCTATGCTGCACACCCTCCACCAGACTGCTCCTCTCATATCGCAGGAACTTGAATGTGCCCTTTCCTTCACCTAATTCACGTAGCTCACCTGCCTTCTCTACCGCGGCCATGAACAGGCCGATCGGATGTCTTCCGCACACGGTGTTGCCCGTCTTCTTGAGCTGGTCTAAGAATCGTTTATGTGACCTACTCTCCACAGCGTCGATACTCTCGTGATCGACAGCGGCAATGCTTTCGTGTATGGGGTAGTCGCTCGGCACAGCAGAGCTTGATTTCAGGTGGGTTGCCGCTGAACCGTCGGGCGGCTGGTAGTACGTGTACCGGAATCGGGACCCCCAGTGACAGAAGTCAGATGAGATGACGAAGACATTGTGGGGATCGAAGAGGTAGGGAGCGAGCATAGAACCATAGTACGCTTCGAGGGCTGCCTCGGTATTGCCGACCATGATGGGAACCAGAGGAACAGATTTCGAGTCGTTCTGGAAGCTCGTGTTCTTGAGCGACAACATCTTGTAAATGTAGGGCAGGTGCATCTCTAAGCTGTGTTCGTCCTCGTCGGTTCCCTTTGACATGATTTCCAGATCCCAGTCTTGCTGTATCTCCTCCACCAGGTCTCTGTCTATCGTGAGGTCGCCGAGCGGTGTACGGTACTTGTCGCAGCCTGTTGTCGCAGCGCCAGCGAGATAGTAGTGGTGGGAGGGGCCGAGGAGGAAAACACGTTTGCTATAAGCCGTCAGTATGGCAATAAACCTCCGCTTCATAGTCTTGCACTCACGCATTCGCCCAGTCAGCGCTCTTGTAGGCCCATGCAGCAGCAGGCCCTGAGTACGAGTATCCGGCATGCCTGCATGTCCATGAGCCTCATGTTCTCTATAGCTTCTTCAGGGAGCCTACGGGGCGATGATGGCTCGCGCATCCGGCGTCGGTATTGAGACTTGGCCCTGCTGTGAGGAAACGGAGCCGATAGGCGTGGTGGTAGCGGGAACGTCTGCGAGCCAGCCGTCGAGTTGCTGCGATAGGAGCTGCTTGTTGTCCGTATACCAGGAGCCGGCGTGGGTGGCTTTGCGGGTGACCATGGTGGGTTTCGGGTATTGTGCGACGGAGCGGGATGCGCTGCTAGAGATCTTGGGAGCTGGTATCGTGGCGTTGTATCGAGTAGTTGGTGTTGGGAGCGTGAGGGGCAGTGGGGTAAGCTGAGCGCGACCTTCGTACAGCCGACGTAATGCCTTTGCCTGCCATCATCGCCTGCTGGGAATGTGCAAGGGGCATCTCTAGACGCCAGATACAAAAGCCCACCAAGACATGCTGCAGCATGCCTGCTGCAACGAGTGCACAGAAGGTCACGTGTGGATGTTCGATGATGTTGCCCAGGTGCCCGGTCGGAGGGTAGTGATGCAATTGCGATCCCGACACGCCATCACGCGACGCGCTCGCGCCGACAATTCGCGTCTCCCAGGCCAGCCACTTAGCATCATCACTCCCCGTTTCATCCCATCTCGCTCTCCTTTCGCATATCGCTCTACGAACCCGTAAATAAACATTTGCTGCCATCCACACACCACGAATAATACCCCGTCATTTATCGCAACCCGTCAATACTTCAATCCGCAGCCATGGGCCTCAAGCGCAAGCACTCCTCCGACGACTCGCCGCTCTCCATGTCCAGCTTCGGCGCCGTCTCCACACCGGATGCGCAATCGCCCATGTCTTTCATCAAGGGCTATGACAAGACGATGGATACACATGCACATGCGACCTCGAGATCCAATGGCTGGGACTTCATAAGCGCGAGTCGAGTCAAGAGCAACGATTGGGGCAACCGCACACAGAAGCGGGTTCGCGACAACAGACCCGACGAGCAAGCGATACACAGTAAGGCTTATTGACTCGGTGATTCGAGCTTCTAGTTGCTAATCGTATCCCAGAAAACACGCTGAACATGCTCTTCGCCGCGCAACGTGAACATCCAGAGGCCGCGCCCATCCCGTCCGACGCTCTTCCAACACACCAGCCATCAACTTTGGCCTCGTCGAAACCACAAAAGTCTACGCTGCATTCTTTCTGGAAACAGCTACCCGCGCCGCCTGTTCAACCCATCTTCTCAATGCCTGTACAGCAGGACCAAGCTTCCTCACAAGTGCCCCGATGCGAAGACTGCGATACACCATTACATGGTGAGCGAGACGAGATGGATGTAGACATGGATATGGACATGGGTGGACCTGTGGCGCATAGTCCTTTTGCATGCAGCGACTGTGGGCGAAATGTATGTGGGACTTGTGCGGTTGTGTCATCGACGAGGCATTGCCTGCAGTGCGCGACCAGTGGAAGGAATTTGAGGCGGTGGTGGTAAGAGTGGATTGTGAAGATAGTTGGATGGTGCATAGCACGGTCATTGTGGGCAGCATAGGTTCCTTAGCATTGTTGTATAGCGAGGCGTACAGGTGTCAGCAATGGGATCACGCGCTGGCCAGATAACGGTAGTATACCCCTTTCATATTCGTCATTAATTCTAGCCAAACATGTGATACAAATTCTACACGATCTATCTCTGCACATGTGCAGAAATCTCTCAGACTTGACCGAATTTCAAGTAAAGCATAATACAAGATACACGACAGTTCATCACCGTCTCTATTGTTCTACATAAAGCTTCCCAGGCTCAAGACAATGAGTACCTCCGCAGTTTGGTTTGAGTTTTGTGGAAAGCGGCAATAAGTGAAGCGGCATTGGTGCAGGTGGTGTGAGAACAACAAGCTCTGGCTCTAGAGAACGAGAAGTAGTGTGGGTAACACATGTTCACAAAGTGAGAGCGTGGTACTTAGGTAGCATGGACTTGGACATACCTTACACAAGGAAGAAATTGAATAGCTGCTTTACTGTCTACATTGTCTTAGGGGATATACAAACTTTAACTAAATAGCTACTCTGCTGTTTACATTGCCTTGGGGAATACACAAACCTTAACTAAATAGCCACTCTGCTGTCTACGTTGCCCTAGAGAATATGTACACTTTAACTGATTAGATTATCTGCTATCTACATTGCCTTTAGGAGTGTGTAAACTTTGACTAAATAGATACTTTACTGTCTACATTACTATAGAAGTTAAAGTTTATATACTCCCTAAGGTAATGTAGACAGCTACTACTACTAGGTCTATTCCAGGCCGTTCTGACCTCAATATTTGAGTATGCAGGCTACCCTTATTCCACGAAGTGGAATAATGTAGACAGTAGAGTAACGGTTCAGTTTCTTCCTCGTATAAGGCGGATATTACGACGAATTGCAAAGAAGCGAATTTGACACTGACCCCACCAACCCCGCTGTCGCCATTCATCAGTCCCGCGCATGGGCTACCTTCGCCAGATGACCCAGTTAGCAGCATTAGGCATTGAAAATAGTGTATATAAAAGCATCGCTTCACAGTTCTTCCATCAATCGTCTCTAAAGCGAGCGTAGTCTAGTGGTCATGATGTCTGCTTTACATTATAAATGTAAAGTTACGCAGAAGGTCGGGAGTTCGATCCTCCCCGCTCGTATGAGCTCTTGCATCATTCTTTTTGGCTTTTTAGAGTGCTTCTACATCTGTCCTAGACGTGTGGTTGTGGACTCCTCTTTTTTGCAAGTTTGCCATCACCAACAAGTGGAACAACCCCTCTTGCCCTGGGTCAATTCTGCCCTCGCTTGAATCCAATGGTTACGCGCATATACTGCATAATTTGTACTTTGTCTATATTCTGTACGTCGTCCCTGGCGTTCTGGACAGTTGTGAGAAGTTTGCCGAAATCGGTGACTTGGACCCCTCTTTTTTGACTTTTGCGAACATGATGCCCCACCACTTTGTGGGCTTGCTCAAGTCTAGGCGTCATGCTTCTTGACGGGGCAGCTGCTCGTTTAGAAATGATACAAACGACGTCGAATTATTCGACTGCAGCGTGAGTAGCACGTCAGGTGCTCTATAAACGATGTAATGGGAAACCTTGTCATATTGCACCATTTGAAGCATCCACAGGTTGTGTAGTGTACGTTGATCCACTATTGTAACATCATGGAGCATGCGCTCATTCGATTCTAGGTAGTGGTTATCACTTCAGATTTTGACTTCATCACTATTCTGATAACCCCGGTTCGGTAAGACATTTCCGCTGCTGTGATCACAAGAATTGTTCCTAACGTTGAGAAGAACCCGGGCACGACCTTCAAGACTTCTTTTTTGCTCATCGTTGGTTTCTTTTGTTCTTTGCATACTCTACACAGAAAATATTTTTATCAGCAAGCTGTGTTCTATATTTTGAAGATGCCAACTGTATTTGATCTTGTGCTCGTCAAAGCAGTATGCAGTGTGTGTAGCTCCAGGATGTAGTATACCGGCGTACTTGGGATGCACTCTAAGTAACAAGCTCCATCGTGCTATCATCCTGGGTTCGCCCGTAGACCAGTGCCATGTGCGGTCCGGGAAACTTGTCTCTCAGAGATATACATAGATACATTGTGTCATGGGAGTGAGAGCATGCTTCGCGGTGCAATTCGCGATGACCATTACTATAGAGGAAGCTGCCACACTTGCCATTTCTTCTACGTGACACGGGAACCTCTTGTTTACATCTACTCAAATGTTTTGTGTCTCCACGCGTAGATACTACCTACCTAGATCTGTAATTCTATACCACGTCGTAACCGTGTAGCATCTCCCAGCTTTATAGAGTGTTATTCGGATTTGCAGTCGACGACCGCATCATACGAGACACTCGTAAAATCTGATGATGATGTAAACTTCTGGATCTCAATATACTGTCAAGAAACCCGAGGTACCTATGGATGGGTAGTAAAAGAATGGTGTTGGGTGGCACCGTCATGTCCGCATGACAGGCTTAACTCCGGTGAACCTCAGGCTCACCACAGCCCCATCTCACCAACCCACCATCCACCACCCACGATGTCGCACACGCTCTTCACCAAAGCGCCTTCGCTGCGCAATGTAGCCCAACGCTCCGTCCCGCGCCAATTTCGCGCCTCATACCACAGACAGTCCTCCCCGAAGATGGCATCCGGCGCCGCGCCCATCCGCACTCTTCTCCGCCAGACGACGCTCCGTGCAAGCGCAATAGCAGCGCAACGGACGTCCTACCCGGCCACGCAACAATTCTCCTACCAAACCTACACACAACAGCGCTCACGGTCCCCGTCTCCACCTCCACCATACCAAGCACGCAACACATCCATCCTAGCAGCGCCAAACCAATGGACGCGCTTCACCACACCCTACAACACCCTCTCCGCCGTCCGCACATTCACTTCCACGCCATGCGCTAAATTCGCATCCGCCACGTCATCAGCCCCATCCTCGCTATCTCCAGAAGCTCAACAAGCGGTTGAGGAAGCTATCGAGGAGATACAAGAACTCTACGGCACGGCCAAAGACGAGTTTGAGATCGCGTCTGAGGAGAGCGAGAAGAACACAACGTATGCGCCTGACGACCGGGCTGCAGCGAGGGAAGAGCTGGATAGGTTGCTCGAGTACTACAAAGGGGTTGTTGAAGGTGAAGATAGGTCGGTCGCAGATGAGGTGAAGAGGAGGGTGGGGCAGAGGATTAGGGAGCTGGAGAATGCCGTGCTGGCTATGGAGGAGGCTGCTACCCATGGCGATTAGATTTTCGTTGCACTGTTACCAATCAGAGAGGCAATTGTACATCACGGTAGAGAACATGGAAGTACACCAAAGGGTTATTGCTCAAGGTTGTTGTTGTAACATATAGTCCCAGTCAACTCTATGAATCGCTAATTCTTTGTGGATATTTCATCATAGGCTAAAAGCTAGCTACTGTCACGCCAAAACGCCTTACTGTCCTGTGTAATACCGACTAAGCGGTCGCTACTCAAACCTAGTCTGACTGGCTAGGTACTCGAATTCTGGGTGCGGATGTTTGGGACGTCTCTCTTCACCTCCATGCAGAATGGCGTCCAGCTCATCTCTGAACTGAGTCGCGTTTGGTCGAGGATCCGCTGCCTTTGACCGACTAGGCAGTTCCCAATCACCCTTGCGGTTCTTCTCTTCCATCTCCTCGCGCAGGATCTTGACCTGCTTCTTCATCTCTTGCCATAGCTCTAGCTTGTCAAGATCAGAGTCTGGCTCTGAAGCAGGGTCGTATATGTCGCCAAAGGGCAGTCTCCGTGCGAAGTTGGTATGCAGAGTGCCGGTGGTCGATTTCATCGGATCCTGGGGGCCTGCCCACCTCTCTGCATCGCGGTCGGCGTCCTCGACGCTCTTACCACCCCGAGCGGCAATAGCAAGGAGCGACGCAACGAAAGCCTCCTGCATGTAGGCAAAAGAGAACTTGGGCGTAATCTCGGCAATCTTTGCGCAGAGCTCGTCGGGGAAGTCGAGATCCTTGTTGTCCTTGAGCTTTCCTTGCCAGAACTTTGCGTATTGCATGCGCTGATCATAGTCAGGGTTTGGGAAGTAGTACTTGCGATCGAAGCGGCTAGGCCTCTTTGCAATTCCTGGGTCCAACCTGTCTAGGTGATTTGTGGAACCGACCATCAATATGCCGTCATTGGACTTTAGACCATCTACCTCATTGAGGAAGTATGATCGTACATGATCGCTGACGATTGAATCCAAATCCTCAAAGACAAGGTAGCAGGGCGCTTGCTCGCGAGCTTTGCCAAAGATCTGCGCTAACGAGTACTCAGGTCCACCGAAAGAGGTCAGGGTGCGGACGTAGAGGGTGGGGACGGCGAGTCTGGAGTCGCCTTCCTTGCCGCGCTGGTAAAGGCTGTGCATCATGGCCTTGATGCTGATGGTCTTGCCGTTTCCTGGGGGTCCGTAGTAGATGACACCGCGCTTCCATGGCACCTTCAGGTCTTCGTATGTCTGTCTGCCATCGAAGAAGTTCTCCACATCTGCGATGAGCGCCTTCTTCATGTCCTCGTCGAGGATGACGGAGTCCCATGTACTCTTCTGTACGGAATGATACAGCTCCGCGCTCTTCTGCCAGTAGCCACCGTCAAAGACCCAGACCTCGTTGTGCAATTCGCTACCCCACTTTGTCGCGTCCTTGATCAACTCATCGACCTTGTGCGACGCGTTGGAGAGGACATAGTGCAGCGTCGGGCTTGGGTAATACGACCCTCCGTCGCGACCTTCGGCAATGTATAGGATCGCCTCCTGGTCTTTCCACTTGTACATGTACTTGCCAAAGATGACACGTTCGACCATGTAGCCAGGACTGGGGTCGAGCCTGTGGCTTGGGGGAGCATAGGAGCGCCACTTGACTCCAGGGCCGTAGACGGGATCCGTGACCGAGTCTTCGAGGGGCGTGACTTTTGCGAAGCCAGCGGATGCGTACGCGAGGAGGTTCAGTCGTCCCTGAGGCGCGACGGTGAGGTCGAGGTTGGGGTACTGCGATCGGATTGCCTCGATGAGGACGACATCGGTGTTGATGCGCTTGCCCGACGAGTGGTCGAAGTAGGAGAGGGCGGCCATGTCCTCCTGGGACGTCGTGTTGTCGGACATGATGGACAGGACAGACTGTGTGTGGTGTGAATAATTTGGCGTGTTCAGGTTATAACTCCCTCACGCGTTCAAATGAGCGTGTCTGCCTAAACCCCGAGTACACCTGGGCAGGCAGCTTGGAGCTTGGAGCTTGGAGCTTCCCCGCGCTACCTATCAATCGCCAACCCATTACGTAGC